TCTCCGGATTCGAACCCGCCACTCCTGGAGTTCGAAGTCTACCTCTATGCCACAGTGTCACTACACCCTGTAGTATTTTACACATATCACCCCATTTATTTATAATACATCATAAAAAAGGTTGCTTACTCATCATCTCAACCTCCCATTCAGTGGAGGAGAAAGACAATGAATATAGTACGTGGTCGCAAGCCGGGTGAGGTGGGTGTAATCACCTGTTACTCTGATGGCTCTGAAAGATAATACAGAAATAAACCCAAAAAACGGTTATAAAAGAAGCGATGGTCAGAATAGGGTGGCAGAAAGATAACTTGATTATAAACCGGAGCGAAAAACTGCCATATAGAAAGAATTTCTAACGAAAACACGATCAGAGAATAATCTCTGTATACCCCTAAATAAAATAAGGGACAACTTTAACTTCCTGAAACGTATTACCCCGTTGTAAAGCCTGTCACAACTGCACTTTTACAGGTACAGTCAGAACATGACTTACAAAACAGCCAATTTTTACTGCTCATAGACAGTTATTCGCTATGCGCGTTTGAACATATCAGTAATAGGTAATTTAATAAATACCTCGTCAATGAAGTTTTTCAGGAAAAAGTCGACTTTCAGCTGTTTCAGCTTCTTCTGCTGCTGCCCGTAATTCTTCGCTTCCTTGATTAGCATTTTCCGTATCACTGCAAACTCAAATGCAACAGTTAATTATGTATATAACAAGCAAATTAAATGAGAGTTTATAAAAACAGATTATACCGAATTGTCATTCTAACGCATTTGCAAAGGTCCAAAGAACGTTGCGTATACTGTATTTTTCTGATCGAAAGGTTCGTTTGAGCAATTTTCATTTAAAGCCACGATACAATTTTAGACAACATTGGCTACTCGAACACTTGCCTCTTTCCAAAGACAAAAAATTTCGTTCGTCAGTTGGTGATCATATTCAAAAACAGCAGAGAACTCGCTTTGTTAGAATACAATGCAGAACGTAACATAGTCAATCGGATCATACAGGCACTTATGAATAAAACTATAAGCTCTGAATCAAGAACATGAAGTATTATTCAGACAGTATGGTCATAGGTATTTCATGCTCAGACATAGCATGATCGAACACTATGCTATTCTCATTGCTCACGGGCCAACGAAGAATTTCTCGAGTGGAAGTACTGAAACACAATTGGGTGAATTTTTTGTTTAAAAGAAATAACAGTTAAAGATGTACATCAGTGATTTAAACTCGCAATATTAAAATGTAAAAAGATACTATTACGCCGTGTGCTAATGCCCTTTAAAGGAATAAATATTTAACTACATGGATGGAAGCACGGTTGACTTTGAGTTTTATTTTTTGCATAACGCAAATTAAACCGCATTATAATGCTATAAAACGCACTTAAGGAACAGTATAAGATAATTTGAAAAAGAAATGTCGCAGTGAAATCTCAGAGTTGAACAATCAGAAAATGCCACAAAAAGACGGTAGATATTGTGTATCGAAGAAACTGTAAAATAGTGAGCTAAACTGATAGATGTTTGTATGAATCATGATTCAAGGCGTCAAATTTAGTACTCTCAGCTATGAATCGCTTAAACACCTGCCAATATAACTATGGGCCCAAAATCAAAATTTAAAATATTAGTTACTGAGCTAAACTAGGTAGCATATTTAATAGCCTCCAGATATGTAAGTTATCTGAGGGATAAATCTCGAGTCTGACAATCATAGTCAAGAACAATATAAAATAACGTTGGACAGTGCAACAAGTTAACCATCGGTGAGAGTGTAAAACTTAAAATGCTGCAAACGGTCTTATAGTCAGTGAAGGCATAGCAAATTTAATCGTATAAATTTGTTACAGTTCCACTGGTGCTTCGGATTATTTGCCAAACCGCCAATTTGAAAGTCGCTGGTTTTCGAAGTGTTAATTTGATAAATGTTTACTTGTCATTTAATTAGCAGACAGTTGTCATAGTCTGGTATTTTGATCTTTCTCAAGTCATTGACTAACGAAACAAATAACATCAGGAATAACCTATCATTATGTTAATGAACGGTGTTAGTTATGTTTAATATCGATTTGAAGCTTCATAGCATATTAAACACGTAGGTTTTCAAGTGCATACAAATTCTTTGTGGCAAACATATGTAACCGCCAAAAAATACCATGATCCAGCTGTCTATATGCAATATTAACCTTTAATCTTTCTGTTTCCTGATCGGCGGTTTAAGGCGACGTTTTAATAATGTTTGCACTACACTGTTCCAATGGAAGCAGCTGTCTGCTAATGGTTGTACTATACTGTAGCAA